AACAATTTTTTGTGTTATTGAACAACACTTTTGTAATATTTCTGCAAAATAAATTTCAAATCACAAGGATTTTATCAAACATTCTAAGCATCAAATCATCGAAATATTTTGTGAACTATAATAGCATGTTATTTTATTATTTAAAATTTATCAAAAGAAATAATCATTGATGTCTTCCTTAGGTTAAAATCTTCATGCTTTTTTCGAAATAAGTTTTCGAAAGGTTTTTAAATGGCGGTCATTTATAATTATCGCTCCGTAAAATTAGTTAAAATTTTTTTCTTGTTTTTAAAACAAATCTATAAAAGACATCTTATAGACATCTAAGTTTAGTTGAAAAAAAAATTATCTATGCACGATCTATTTTATGCATTTAATATGCATCTAATACAGAGCAAAAATAGTATTTCTAGAATCAGACGTCTTTTCGATCTCTAATATACGTCTAAAATACACGTATCGGCAATAGATACTAATTACACCAATTTTAGACGGTCTCAAAGACTTTTATAATCTTTGCTGGGTCCGTATATTTATATTTAGAGCTTAACATGAATAAGGTAAATCATTTAGTTCAAGACAACCTGCCCAAACCCAAATCCTCTGTTGATTTATGCACACTCACTGTGGTTAGGCGTGTAAAATAAGTAGCTAAGCAAGTCAAATAAATTAACTTGATCTGTTTTTCTGCATAAAACAAAAACAGAAATTGTGAAGTACTTGATATAACGAACTGTAATATTGGATTTAGTTAATTCAATACAAAGTGATAGGAAACTGCAAAATAAGGTAACAACGTGAAAATTATTCACACGCAAATTATTCAAATACTAATTTACAACAATTTGTATTGAGTTTTATTAAATTAGCTTTATTAAATGGTATGAAGATTGATGGTTCTTCTTCTTCGCCTTTAGAAAATGATTAACGATTTGAAAGACTTTTAAATTGATTATAAAAGCATTATCTAAAAATGAAAGAAAATCATTATTCATAACACTGAATGCATATTTATTTGTTTTATGTTAATTCATTTGAAAAATGAAAAATACGAAACGAAATTTAGTAATATTAAATAAATATTAGACACTTACTTTGCGAGAGTGCTTTTGTAAAAGTCTCTAATATTCGGTTGGAAGGCTGGAAATACTATTTTTTTTAAAAAATTCAGTTTTATCAGCATTGCTAAAGATAAAAATTCTTACTGACACAAAAAAATTAGGCATTTTTTCTTAAAATATTTCTTGGCTTTTAGTGAATGATTAGGAGTAAGTTTCAGTAATGAAGCTACCCAATAATCATTTTTAACGATAGACACCAACGTGAAGGTAAGCTAAGCTGTCTATCAACACAAAACATCACAACAACATTACAGGATGACAAACAATAACACCAGTAGTGTAGGCAAGATTTTTGTTGTTTCAGATAAATATTTAGAAGCTGTTGAAGAGTTTAACTTTGTTATGTCTAAAAAAATTCAGGTTACGAAAAACACTTTTTTTAAACATTTGTTCCTAAGCTTTAACAACATCAATTTTTTGCAAAGTATTTTAATTCTATAAACGTAAATAAACTTAAGTTTGGTTGAAAGTGCTATCTGAAGCATCAAAAGACCCTGCCTATGCTACTGAATACACATAGCATCAAATATTTGTACATAACACATTTGCACATAACACAAAATACTCAGATTATGTGTTTCCGGAATAACTAAAAAGCTAGACAACACAACCTAGCTCAACACTTGTAACACCGCTTGGCACTAAACGCTGCCAAGTAACACCACAATTTAGTAAAAACACATATAAGGTTTTTTAATTATAGATTCAATTTGACGAAGAGCTGCCTGCTCAGCAAGTACGACTGGCATTGAATGGTGTATGTAATCCTCAATCATATAATTTTTAAATGTATTCCAAAAGTGTAAAGGATTATCAGGTTCACATAAAGTTAATATGATGGAAAACAGTAGCCTAATTTGTTTAGGCATCCGAGTTGCAGCAGCTTCAGTTAATGTATTTCTCCACTCAATGTCATCTTGCAATAAACCTAAATGATAACGTGCTTCACGAAATGTATTAAAAACAGTACCATGAACAGTACGCAAATCCTCAAAAGACTTTGCACCTTTTACATGCAAAAGTAACAATCTGAGAAAAAATAATTCGAAAAATGAACTGACTTTATGCATTCGAACAACCACCTTATCAATGCCTCTTTGTCTTACATTCCACTTGCAATTTTTACCAAAAACAAAGTGATATAGATTTTCAACATAAGAATACTAACGTGCTTCATTATTTTTAGCATTTAACTTAAACCAAGCGGTTAGGTGAGTGTCACGCTGTGCTGCACGATCTATAGCTACTTGTTATTCTCCTTTGTTAAAATATACTCTCTGATTATCAGGAAGGTGGATTTAAAGGCGGATAATAGTATGTGAGATATCACTTATGGAATACTTATATATTTGCCAAAGAGCCTGTGGGGTGGAAACAAAGCGACAGTCTATATATGTGTTAATTTCATCATAGTCAACACTTTCATTAACTACCACATTCGCACAATCATGCCCCTTATAGACATATTTGTATAAATACTTCACTGACTTAATAGTCATGCAAGCTTTAACATTAATGTAGGCTTGGTATTTTTTTCATAACCAGGGGTTATAGGGTACAACCCATCGATTATCAACTTGGTTACCTTTTATAATGACTACTCTACCATTATCTAAACGCCTGTAGTTAGGATAACCATTGAAAATTGCAACAGTGCGAGGATTAAACTCTTTAGGAAATTTTTTTGTGCAAACTCCATCTTTCATGCAAGGAGAATTGGGATTTAAAATTCCACATGGTCCATGAATCATACATGTTTTCACAATTTCAAAAAGTTCAGGATCAACAGTTTGATCTGGAATTTCAGCTGATATTAAACTATCAATATCCTCTGCTGTTTCTAGCTTATCATCATTTACAAAGTGTAATAAAATATGCACATGTGGCAAACCACGTTTTTGAAACTCAATAACCTGTACATGACTTACAACTTTGCCTAAGACTCCATGTTTAAAAATATCACCTAAGAAGCATTTAAGTTTCATCTTAAATGCGCGACAAACTAAATCAGGCCTGTCAGTTGCGCTCTCACCTGGATTTAAATTTTTTATAATTTCTCTCCATTTTGAATTACAGGTAAAAGTAATAAAAAGATCTGGTTTACCATATTTCTTTATAATTGCCATTGCATCTTCAAAATTTTCTTTTAAAAGCTCTTGGACTTCCAACATATGAGGCTGGTATTATAACAACTCGACCAGGTTTTACATTAAAGTTATTTGCAACATTATTTACATATTCATGTAATGTATCGTATTGTTCACTTCTAAGTTTGTTTTGGTCACCTCTTGGAAAAAGTATTGGATATATCATTGGATCAAGATTTGCAGACATACTTGAAATTATTTTTAAGGGTTGACCTCGAGGATAAATAACAACTTCTATAGATGGAGGTGGAGCACCATCATTTCCTACAAACACAATGGCAACCTCTTCATGTGATGGAAGACTGTATTGACGTTTATCACAACCCTCAAGCAACGACATTTTGACAACAGAAATTGGTCGATCTTCTATAGCAGCTTGACGAATTTTTGCATCTTCAACTTCTGCCATGTTTTTAAATGAAAGTGCATATGGGTTCTCCTGAATAATTATAGTCTGCAAAAGTTCCATTAACTCACGTATGCAACAATCATTTTGCTCTATTCGAAAGTTTAAAGCAGTATTAGAATCATAAACATATAATTGACAATAAGCAGGTGGATCACCTTGCTTATGTCTTAGATTACCAATACGATGCATAACTTGCCTACTAGTTCTAAAACAGGGTGGACCACGATTTGACGGAGTATCTATTGTGGCAATAAATGAAGCAAAAGATAGACAGGCATTATAATTTCGTATATTCTTGAAAAAATTTTGATTCAAAGCACGATCAACATGGTTGCCTGTCATTAAATCAACCATCAGCGGTGGATAAGGTGAAAGTGGAGGTAAGACAACCTTTCCTGAATGGCAGCGCAAAAAATGTGTTTCATTTAAAAAATTTTTAGCACCACAGTACTAATAATTATGGTTCATTTCTACTAGGTAATTACTCTCTATAATAACATTATTTTTTGCTACGCAATGCATTCCACGCCTAAGTAATACTCGTCTAGCCTCATTTCTTTCATTTTGGCGACGATTAATTTCTTCTCGCCTAGCCTCATTCCTTTCAATTTGGCGACGATTAATTGCTTCTCGTCTAGCCTCATTTCTCTCATTTTGGCAAGGATTAATTTCTTCTCGTCTGGCCACATTTCTCTCATATCGACAATTTCTTCTATTTTCAGCTCTTAAGTTACTTGACATAATTGAGAAATTATTTATGCTTGATAAAACTTTATCTGATTAATTTTTTGCTATACTAATCTAAAATGAACAAAAACAATAAAGTGCTAATTATCAGTTTAAACCTATGAAACTATGTGTATAGCGTCTAATAAAATTTGTGAACAAAAGATATAACTAACCTGGTTTGAAACAGAGAAAAAGCCAGAAGTATCTTGTACTAACATACTATATTGTAAGTAATAAAAGAGTATTTTTTGAAACAAATAAAAAATTTTATTATTTTAAATATTATATTTTAAAAAGCAAAATTAGTTACACATTTAAAAATGACATGCCAACAATTGCAAACATGTTGCATCATATAGACCACTTGTGGCTGACAACTGATTTTAAATACTATTTTATAATATATCAAAAGAGAATAATGTAAAGAGAATAATAGGTGTATAGTGCATATATTAGACATATTAAATAGATATCATAGAAAAAGAAAAATTTTAAATATATTTACCAAATCTTTTAAAAACTTTATAACACTTAACAAATAAAAGTTAATACAAAAGAAAATTTAGTATTATTAAAATTAAAAATGAGGATAAAAAGATGTAAAAACGTAAAGTCATAAAAAAACTTATAGACAAATTATTATAAACTTTTATATCATAAGAGTTCTTTTGTAAGTTTAGGATTTAAAAACAGAATTAAAAATCAAAAAAATAAAATAATGAAAGTATAAAAATTAAAATAATAAAAAATTGCAAAATTAAAAAAAAAAGTTTTTTAAAAAGTCAATTTTCTTTATAATTAAAAATGAAAATAATTCTACCAGTAGCTTAAAAAAGCTACTGGTAGAAATTAAAAGTGTTGAACCGCTTCCCAGCACCCCTCCTTCTACCAGTGGTGTCTTATGGGGCTTGTCTCCTCCATCTAAAGGAGAGATCATCTTTCCCATATTGACATCACCAGTAGAAAGCTCTTTGAGATATCGGACCTGGGTGCTGGGAGCGATATCGCAGGAACTCTTGATGCGATGCTAAAAAAACAAAAACAGAAAAAAACAAAAAATTTGAATACAATACTGCACAAAACAACCAATAAAAATATTATTTAAAACTATTTAGACTTTAAAAAAAAAAAAAGTAATGAAAAAAAAATAAATAAATAAAGTAAGGTAAAAATAAGGAAATGTAATGTTTAAATTTCATATATACATACGCAAACACACATAACACCCATAAAACTGCATAAGTATGCAAAACAGATTACCTGATGGTCCTGCAGATATTGTTGCTATTACGGAAATAAATAAAAAAGTATATGAACTAACACATTATTATATTAAACAGTTATGTAATTGCATTTAAACATAAAAAAAGTAATGTTTAGGTTTCAATATACATTAACCCGGCATAAGTATGGAAAAACTGCATAAATATGGAAAACACATTACCTGGTGGTACTGCAGTTGATACTGTTGCTATTGCGGAAATAAATAAAAAAATATATAAACAAACACATATATTAAACATTTATGTAATTGATAACAAACATGAAAAAAGTAATGTTTAATTTCAATACACATAAAACCCATAAAACTGCATAAGTATGCAAAACACATTACCTGATGGTACTGCAGATGGTATTGATGCTAATGTGAAGGTAAAAAAAAAAAGTGTATAAAGTAACAAATATTAAGCATTTATGTAATTTTATACAAACATGAAAAAAGTAATGTTTAAGTTCCAATACACATAACACTCATAAAACTGCTTAAGAACGCAAAACACATTACCTGATGGTACTGCAGATGATATTGATGCTATTGCGGAGGTAAAAAAAAAGTGTATAAAGTAACATATGTTAAACATTTATGAAATTGCATTCAAACATGAAAAAAATAATGTTTAAGTTTTAATACTCATAACACTCATAAAACTGCATAATTATGCAAAACATATAACCTGATGGTACTGCAGATGATGTTGATGCTATTGTGAAAAAAAAAAAAAACAAGTGTATAAAGTAACATATGTTAAACATTTATGTAATTGATAACAAACATGAAAAAAGTAATGTTTAAGTTTTAATACACATAACACTCATAAAACTGCATAAGTATGCAAAACATATTACCTGATGGTACTGCAGATGATATTGATGTTATTGTGAAGGTATGGTAAGGTAAAAAAAGGGTATAAAGTAACATATGTTATACATGTAAGTAATTGATAAAAAACATGAAAATCGTAATGTTTAAGTTCCAATACTTATAAGGCTCATAAAACTGCTTAAGTATGCGAAACACATGACCTGATGGTACTGCAGATGATGACATTGGTGCTATTGTAAAGGTAAAAAAAAATGTGTATAAAGTAACATATGTTAAACATTTATGTAATTGCATGAAAACAGTAATGCTTAAGTTTCAATACGCATAAAACCCATAAAAATGCATAAGTATGCTAGTCAGATTACCTGATATTATTGCTTAAGGTGCTAATGTAGAGACAAAATAATAAATAAATAAAGTAATCTGTAAATTAAGATATGCTATCTTTAAGTTTTAACACACATAATTCTCTTAAAACTGCATAAGAATGCAAAACACATTACCTGATGGTACTGCAGATGATGCTATAGTGGAGGTGAAAAATATATTTACATAAACTAACATATACTCATCAATTAAACAGTTTATTTTACAGTGATAAAATCGCACACAAACATCAAAAAATGTGTGTTAAAATTGAACAAAATGAAACATAATTGAACTTTGCTTACCAATTGAATTTTCTAATTTTTCTAAATAGAATAAAAAAAAACTCATTAACATTAAAAAAGAAACTAACATGCAGAATATTTGTCAACTTTAGGAATTCTATAAATAAAGTTGGAACAAAATAAAAGCCAAAATAACAATCACGAAACAAAACAAACCAAAAAAAAAATTGCTTACTTAGATTCTCAACAGAATCTTCTAATTTTTATAAATAAAATAAATTTAAAAGTTAAAAAAGTCACTTGCTGACTGTCAAACTGTCACAACTGACAAAAGTCAGTTGCTAAATAACTTTAAAAAAACTAAAAAAGCATAACTGCATTTGCACACACACAAAAAAAAAAAACAACAACAAAAAAATTCCGGACTTAACTTGTCTATTACTTCCGCTAAACATTAAAAACAAGTTATTATTAACAAATTGCTGAAATTGGTGAAATATATATCTTTGTAGTATATCCTTCTCATACAAAGTTAGCTTACTTGGCAAGAGCTCTTCGGCTCTGATCTCTTGAACATCTAATATATATATATATATACAAAATTAATTTTCAAAATATTCACTTTTTAAATTTAACATATAAGGTTTGTCTTAAATTATAAAACTGTTGCATAGTTTTATAATTTAACACATTGAGTAAATGGCAAAAAGTTTCATTTTACATAAAAGTTTAGTAGTTAAAAGACTTAAAAGTCAATTTTAAACACGTTTTATAAAATTATAGCTTAAACACCTTAAATAAAGCTTATACGCGTTTTTAAGGTTCACTGCTTTACAAAAACATCAATCAAAATAGCGGAATAAACAAAAACTGAGTTTCGAGTCCACCCTTTTAAAGTTCTAAAAATTAACTTATATATTTTTTAATTTCAGTTACATTTTAGGGCGGTGTACTTGATTTACGGGGTTAGGAGAGGGCGGCATATCTTGGTTGATTTCAATTAAAAACGGCTAAAATAAATCATCGTTTTATTCACACGTGAATCAAGTACAGCTCCGCCACTTTTAGAACATATGTAACTGCTACTATATATAGTATATATAAATGGCTTACTTCAAAAAAATGCAGAAAATTCTTCCTCGCCTAAAGATATACAAAATTATCTCAATGTCTCAGAATTATTGACATATCATCTCTTTTTGTCTCTTTATTAATTAATTAATGTTATACAAAATAAAAAGAATACTTTAACCTTCTGTATCTTGACTGCTCATTTCTAAAAAATAATCCTAATGTTTTTTCTTGGGTCAAAAACATATCAACATGGTAATTATAAAATAAGTTTAATTTTTTAAATGAAGATTACAATAATTAAACTTGTAGATACAATTTACTTGTCGTCCCTCGCTTTGCAATTGTTATAATCGATATGAAGACCACATAGCCGAGTTTTATTGGTTTTAGAGTACAGTTGGCCACCTATTCTAATAGTGCTGCGACTCTTGCCAATACCTCGGTTGCAATGGCTGCCAAGGGTTTCGTGTCAAATACGCTCCAAGGGACACTACTATTAAGTTCAGCAATATTATATAGAAAATACTGTAACGGTCTTATTTGTGATAAGACCTAATTGTCTTATCAATTAGCACCGCCACACGGGCTTAACAATTTAATAGGTTGGTTCGCCATTTCGAGCTTTACTGATAACGTATAAGTGATTCGAGCAGGATTCGAACTCGCAGCACATATAGAATGAGTACCATGCTCTAATCACTACGTCACGGCTGCTCAATATAAAAACTAAACTCATGACTGGCGCAAAAAGAAGGCAATATTTGTCATATCACTACGGCTCGTAAGCATTGATGTGTTGAAACTACACTTTTTTTACACATTTTACAATTACAGTTGAGATTGATCTCAGAATCCAGATTCAAGTCAGAATCAACGGAGAAAGTTCGCATTCACAAAAACCTCATCGTTTTATACTTTTCTAATTAAAATAGTGCAATTGAGCATAGAAATTAACTAACAAGAGTTAATCTTACTCACCTGTAAATAACGTCACCCTACGCAAGTATAAGTTTTTTTTTAATTTACACAGTGGGTGACTTTAAATCAACAAGATTAAGTTCAAGTGGGCGAGAAACAGTGCTTCTGACACACTGTTAAATTTATATCGGTACTGACAATTATTATCAAGAAATCTAAATAATTTTACATAGTTTTGTAGCTTAAAGAATAAGCTATCTAATCTATAGTTTAGCTGTGCAAGTCTAATAATAGTCTGTAAACATCAATTTCAGTGCGGATGTGAGCAAGCTTCGATTAGGTTACTCTATATTAACATTATTTTCAATTTTCAACCGCCATCGAGTTCTTCTGTCAGTGACAACATTACCCGCAGTAGAAATAACGTTGTCAGAATTTGCAGAAGTTGCTGGTATACAAAGATGTTTTCGTTTATAGTTTGATAAAATTAGGTACTGCAACTTTTTACATATTTTTCCACCACTCTAAAATACTTGTTGTTTCTCCAGCTGTTTCGGCTATTATTTATTATGATCGATTTCTATACCCATTTTAGTCATCTTTGAAGCACTGCATTCTGAAATATATTGTTTCAGTTATTTTCTTGGCAGTTTGTGGTGATTAACTTTAAAATTTTCATTACTTTCATTGCCTATTTTGCTGTTACTTATAGAAGCTATTTATGATTTTACTCTATTTTATGATTCAATATTGCTTCTTTAATTCCATTGCATATTTTATATTCAATCAATTGCAGGCCTTTGTTACATGGGTCTAAAAAATTTGCAAAACTATTAATCAGCTGCTTGGCACTATTAGAAGGATATTTTCCTGCAGTTCATAAATAGCATTTTTATAAATGCTCTTGTTGGCTGGTATTTGTGAGGTTGATGGAATCTTGGTGCAATGAATATAGTTCAGGTATCACCTCTTGGATTGTTATTCTTGTATCGGCTGATATAATTACTGAAATATTGTAATTTTTTTCAAGAAATAGAATGCTGTATTTTAATATCTTTCATTGATCATCTGAAACATGTTTTTCAGAAACCAGAATACAGCATTCTATTTCTTGAAAAAAATTACAATATTTCAGTAATTATATCAGCCGATACAAGAATAACAATCCAAGAGGTGATACCTGAACTATATTCATTGCACCAAGATTCCATCAACCTCACAAATACCAGCCAACAAGAGCATTTATAAAAATGCTATTTATGAACTGCAGGAAAATATCCTTCTAATAGTGCCAAGCAGCTGATTAATAGTTTTGCAAATTTTTTAGACCCATGTAACAAAGGCCTGCAATTGATTGAATATAAAATATGCAATGGAATTAAAGAAGCAATATTGAATCATAAAATAGAGTAAAATCATAAATAGCTTCTATAAGTAACAGCAAAATAGGCAATGAAAGTAATGAAAATTTTAAAGTTAATCACCACAAACTGCCAAGAAAATAACTGAAACAATATATTTCAGAATGCAGTGCTTCAAAGATGACTAAAATGGGTATAGAAATCGATCATAATAAATAATAGCCGAAACAGCTGGAGAAACAACAAGTATTTTAGAGTGGTGGAAAAATATGTAAAAAGTTGCAGTACCTAATTTTATCAAACTATAAACGAAAACATCTTTGTATACCAGCAACTTCTGCAAATTCTGACAACGTTATTTCTACTGCGGGTAATGTTGTCACTGACAGAA